TCTGTAATAGGTCCCAAACTGGAACCAACCCAAATGCCCAAGAACAAGAAGTCTGGATAAACAAATTAAGGTATATCCATACAATGGCATACTACCAGCAATAAGGAATGAACTATTAATACACACAAAACATGGATGAATAATTCTGCTGAGTGAAAGAAGCCAAACCAAAAAGAGTAGTTATCAAATGATTCCATTTAAATACAATTCTAGTCCGGGCGCGGTGGCTCACACCTGTAATCCCAGCGCTTTAGGAGGCCGAGGCGGGCAGATCACAAGGTCAAGAGATTAAGACCAACATCGTGAAACCCTGTCTCTACTAAAAATACAAAAATTAGTCGGGCATGGTGGCGGGTGCCTGTAATTCCAACTTGGGAGACTGAAGCAAGAGAATCGCTTGAAGCTGGGAGACAGAAGTTGCAGTGAGCCAAGATCGAGCTGCTGTACTCCAGCCTGGCCACAGAGCAAGACTCAATCTCAAAATAATAATAATAATAATAATAATAGTAAAATAAATAAATAAAATTCTAGAAAATGCAAACTGATTTATAGTGACAGGAAGCTGACAATTGATTGCCTGGGCCAAGTGTGGGGTAGACAGCAGGGAGGGAAGGATGCTTTTTCAGCTTCTAAGCATGATGGATATACTTATCATCATGACTGCGGTGAAGATTTTCCAGGTGTAAACCTATGCCAAAACTCATCCAATCATATTTTTCAAATAGGTGCAGTTTATGATGGGTCAATTATGCCTTAACGTAGCTGTGCGATTTTATTTGTAATGTTCTTGTACAAGTTTACTCTGTATATAACAGTTTGTGAAACTCCATGGCCAACAAAACAAATATTTTACTCACTTAGAGAGATAGGACCAACAAACACAAAACCTAAATAAAAGCACAAGTGTTAAACAAGAGGAAGTGAGAGATAACATTTGTAAATATTAAAGCTGTGTGTTTCGATTTCCCTTTGAACTCATGCTCCTTTGCAGCTTTCGTGGAGAAAGCCCTAATGCTTATAACCAGAGAGCTGAACAAAGCTATTATCTGACTTTTATTTTATTTTTGAAGACAGAATCTTGGTCTGTTGCCCAGGCTAGAGTACAGTGGAGTGATCTTTCCTCACTGCAACTTCAGCCCCCTGGGTTCGAGCGATTCTCCTGCCTCAGTCTCTTGAGTAGCTGGGATTACAGGTGTCCATCACCACCCCCAGCTAATTTTTGTATTTTTAGGAGAGATGGGGTTTCGCCATGTTGGCCAGGCTGGTCTCGAACTCCTCACCTCAGGTGATTCTCTTGGGCCTCCCAAAGTGCCGAGATTATAGGCATAAGCCACTGCACTTGGCCTTATTTGACTTTATTTACAGAATGATTAGTTTGCAAACTAATCCTGATGGAGAAAGAGTGAATTTTCTACATTTCTTTAGAATATCAAAGGATAGATTTGGAGGATCAGGGAATAGATTTTTCTACCAATCGTGTAAAGACAGTATCCCCTTCTACCTGTGGCAACTAGTACTACGGTTAAAAGAAATAACCAGGGAGCCAGGTGTGGTGGCTCACACCTGTAATCCTAGCACTTTGCAGGGCCGAGGCAGGTGGATCACCTGAGGTCAGGAGTTTGAGACCAGCCTAGACAATATGGTGAAACCCCGCCTCTACTAAAAATACAAAATTAGCAGGGCGTGGTGGCGCATGTCTGTAATTCCAGCTACTTGGGAGGCTGAGGCAGGAGAATCGCTTGAACCTAGGAGGCAGAGGTTGCAGTGAGTCAAGATCGTGCCATTGCACTCCAGCCTGGGCAACAAGAGCCAAACTCCATCAAAAGAAAGAGAGAGAGAGAGAGAAAGAGAGAGAGAGAGAGAGAGAGAGAGAGAGAGAGAGAGAGAGAGAGACAGAAA